TCTACTCACTGAGATGGCATTATATACGACTATGTATATGTATATATATATATATATATTATTAGAAAAAAATAGTTCTTTGGTTTAAGACTGGGTTTCACCAGTCACTGTCTGGATAACTGTATGTTTTCCTTAAAATAGAAAAGATAACGAAGGGAACATTAAGCTTACAAGTAATCCATGTAAGTTGCTCTTCATGGGTTGACTCAATATGACCTTAAAATTTGGTAGGTATAATATCTGTTGTTTGCTAGGTGGATGATTAAATCCATCTGCTCTTGGCTGCTCTACAGCAACAGAACTGACTGTTTCTACTTGCATGGTACCCTTCTCACTCTTACTTGGTAGTCTACTGGTTGATCATGCTGGAGCCCTTCAGAAAGGATCAGAGAGCTAGGCTCTAGCTGTAAGTCCCTCCCAGGGCCTTTAGCAGAGCTGCTGATGCGGGAGCACTGCCTCTTCTTCTCTATGTAACATTGATCCATAGTGAACATATTTACCCAGATCCACACAGAGGAAAGTGTGCCAACAGATGGCAAAAAGAATGCTCAGACGCTAGACTGGTGTCACCACAGCCCTGAATGTCTGCGTCACACAGCCAATACATTATTCTCCTTATGCAAGCTTGAGTTTACTTTCTGAAGCTTATCATCTAAGGAATATTTTCTAATCACACAAAGGCCAAGAAGATGTTTTATGAAATCTAGTGAGTAAATGAGTACAGAATTAAATGAGTTCTAGGGAAAGAGAAAGGGATGCTAGGATTATGAGGGGGAAAATATCTTAAAACAACAACAACAACAAAAACCCTCCTGTTTTAAGAGGGCCATCAATGTTCTTGAGACAGCAACTATTATCTCCCAGCTCTGATAAACAAAAGCAAATTTCTGAAGTAACTAAGAAATATCTGTGTTTACAAAACCACAGGTGAAAAAAATAAGGAAGAAATTGACTATAAATTCAAGAAACAGACGGGAAGAGAAGACACTTCTGGAAGTAGGAAGATAATTGCCTTCCTGTGCAAAGGAGATCTAATGAGTAACAAGGAGGGCAGATAGTCATTACTGGCAAAGGTCCTGAATTCGTACCAAGGAGTGTATACTTCTAAAATCCTTTCTTGAGGAAAAATATATTAAAATATTTTCCCACGTGAGCAAAAGAGTGTGTAAGACCTCTGCTTATTCTTCATAATCATCAATAAATACCCTGTCAAGTATGTTGTATATCTACAGCGATACTAACTTTTCTTTAAAGTAGACCCACGGGGATGGGAAAGTTATGTCCTGCTCCCCACTGCTTTCTGCTTGTTTGACCTTAGCATTGCTATAGTTTAAATGTGGCATCTCCCGCGCAGTGCATGTGTTCGGATAATGTGGTCCCAGTTGGTGGTGCGTTGGGATGTAAGAAGCTTGCTATTGGAAAAGAGCTGACAGAAGCAGGACCGTAAGGTTGAGACTTTGCATGCTGTACTTGCTTCTGTCTTGAGCCTTTACTCTCTGCGACCTGACCACCAAGAAGTGAGGGACCCCATCTCATACTCCTAATGTACCTCCATGATGCACTATGTCCCATGTCAAAATAAACACGAGTCAAAATAGACTTTTCTCTCGAGGTATCTGTGCGAGGTATTTGGTCATAGCAATACAAAAGTAACCAATACACGCAACACAATTCAACACATACCAGTGGGGAGCTTTTTATGGGAAAATATTTTGATGAATACAAAAGAGGACACTAAAGTCAGCTAACCCTTCAACTCAAAGACTTCATACTACAATAAAGAAGGCAAGAGATCTTTAATGATAACTTAAAAGTCAGGAAGAGAAACTAAAGTCTATAATTACCATAAAAAGAAAACAGAAAGTTGGAAGAGGAACCACTTAGTCATTTAGGTCTGGATAGTGGTTCTGAAATTTGAGTGTGAGAAAGGATGAATCATAGGTAGAGCTTGTTATAACCCAGACAATGGGGCACACTTAAGAGTTTTTAAGATGCATTGCTGTTCTGGGGATTGTCCTTTGAGAACTTCTGATTTAGGAATTGGTCTTCAGTTCTGGCTGCACACTAAACTCCTAGGCATCTTTTGTTCAGGATTCATTACAAATTCATAATAAGTGAATACAGAGAAGACTGCAGCAGCATGAGAAGATGATTCATAAGTAGCCTTCTCAGGAGTTGGAAGACAGAGGAAGCAGATGCTAAGGAGGAATGAGAAGTCTAGAGAGGGCAAGAATGAGGCATAATGAGGAGGGAAAACACAAGGGATGCAGCAGCTGAGCAAGGAAGTACAGGGTCAGGTGCTTCACTGCCCAGCTAGGGAGATTGTTATCTCTCTTGGACACAACAGGAAACCATGAAAGACCTCCAAAATGAAGAGTGAGCAGTCTGAAATCACAGCACTGAGAGGATGAATTTGAGACAGGGTTAAGTAGGATGCTTCAACAGTGGTCCATCTTCTTAAAATGAGCATATGAAAGCATGCTCAAGGCTGTTTATTCTTTATAAATGCTTGAATCTTGTATCTAACTCAAAGACAACCTACGAATATTTTTAGAGTTAGGAAGGCAAAAGTCCCCTCTGTAAAAATAGTCAATAGAAAGATTTTTTTTTTTTTTTTTTTTTTTTTTTTTTTTTTTTTTTTTTTTTTTTGTCAAGACTGAACTTAAACTTCCAAAGCCAATGCTTAGTCAGGGAACAAACTGATTATGAATTTAAGGTTAACAATTTTCATTCCTGTGAAAGAGTTAGTACATTATATATCTCTGAGAAAGACAAGGAAACAAATTAAAGTAGACAAAGGCATTCCAAATCGGAATCATCAGGATCTCAGAATACATTTGCTAAGGAAGGGTAAATAAGTAACTGAAAAAAATTAGATACTTAAAGCTTACAAAAAAATGATAAATGATGGATGGAGCAGAAAGCACAGTAGAAAGGATAGGTGCATGAAACCAGTAAGGTTAGTGTTACTAGGGAAAAAAAAAAATCACCAGGTGCAACATACACCCCCTGCTGGTCATCTTATGAATCAATTTAATTTTCAGCATTCAGCCACATTCCGTGGGAGGAAAATTAACAATAGCATTTTTTATTTATAAAGACTCAAGCTACTTCCTTTAACAGTAAATGTTAAACAAAGTTAGCCAGAACCATAAAGATAGGTACCACACTGTTTTATTGTGACTTTATATTAATCTCTCTCTGGTGCCACCACTCCCTCAGGCTGTGTGTGTGTGTGTGTGTGTGTGTGTGTGTGTGTGTGATCATAAAATTATAAGCAGAATTATGAGAGTGAAGGAAGAGATTTCAAGAGAGGAAGAGAGTAAGGAAAACATAGTAATGGAATATAGGAAACATGCAAATAGAAGACGGACATATTTACCCGGGAGGAAAGGGCATGGGGAAGGGGCATTGAAGGAGGACCCTAAGAGAGAATATATAGATATATAGATATATGTCATTCATATATATAATATATCATTCACATACATATGAATGAAAATACTATAACAGATGCATTACTTTGTATTTTAACTTTAAAAATATTTAAAAACAAAGGTTTAATCTGTCAAATAATTTTAAAAGTGATCTGTCAACCACCTCACTCATGAGAGGGAAATATATTGTAATAATTGCTGAAAATGAAAGCTTCTAAGTTACAATCCAGTTCCTTTCCACTGGCTATGGTTATTTTTTTCTTACCATTGTATCATTGTATTATCAAGGAAATCAGTGGTTTCCATTTGGGGGGTCTTAGTCTTGCTAATAAGAGAACTTTAAAACAGCTATAAAAGAAATTTTGAGGATTATTCTATTAGAACCTGGAAGAAAAAAAAACAATAGAACAGGCAAGCTGTAGATCTCAAAAGCTAAGGGGAAGAGGAGATAGTGAAAAGGAAGAAAAGAGACACCCTATTTTGAGTTTGGGCCCAAGAAGCCTCCATACTTAGCAAAGCAGCTGTGTGGTGGAAGGCGACAGGACAGGGGCACCTTCAAACAGAGCTTAAAAAAATATTCTTAAGCAACCTTAGGCTTTTGACTAGGATCCAAAAAGGAGGAAAACAAAAGAAAAAGGAAACAAAAGGTGTTACACTTACAGTTAGAATTACAAAAAAAGGCAGGCAGGCTTAGGGGCCAGAAAGAGGCTTCTGTGCATATTCCTCCCATCTCCTTAGCATATCATAAATTTTGGTGTTCTCCTAGTCAAGTGATTGACAGGCTCTGCAGCAGGAGACAGCCCTATGCTCTAATCTCAGGGCAGGTCAGAGGTCAAGCCCCTACTTAGCACCCGAGATAGAACTCATGGGTCAGGAGGAATTAGCTTTCCCTTAACACTACTCTTAACAAAGACCTGATACCTCTATTCTTCCATATATTCTGTGAATCCTAAGGAAAGGGATGCCGATGTTTCCTTTTGTCGTGTTACCAGAGAAACAGGCTAGGCCCAAAGCCAACCATGATGGAAGAAGCCATCCTAAGGGCTTCCAACTCTGCTAATATATGTGGTATCTGCACAGTAACCATGTAGGAAGAAAGATAATACTAAAACTCAAGCGTTATTTATTTGGATGCAGATATGCTTTTCCAATAACAAGCACATGGCTTTCCTATCTCCACAAGGACCCCTTTCCTCCCCATGTGAGGGATAGGCTGTTCAATGGCATATATACTTTCCCTGAAAGTCATTGGCCCTTGAAGATGCCGCTGTAAGATACAACAATGGTATTTTCTCTTGAAACAATCTGCTATACCTTAATCTCACACCTTTATTTTCCCCAGAAAGGAAAACCTCAGAACAGAATATTCCAAAACTCTTTTTCTTCATCATTTTCATGGGACATAGCCATTAGGGTATGTGAGACATCAAACATTATTAAGTATCAAAGGAAATATCATCAATACTCTAAGCCGAAAATGCTACACATCCTGGTCATGTGGCCAAAGCGGTACAGCCTAACAGAAAATGCAAAACTAAGTCAACAAAAGTGGAGGTTGCGTACCTGAGCTTCTGATTGTACTGTTTGACCTTTTCCAGGGAGGCTGTGTTTATCTGCGCTTGAAACTCTTCCACGGAAATGTTGTCTCTATAGAAATATCCTTCCATGCTCTCCAATGCTGTGTAAAAAGTGAAGAGTTTACATGCCATCTTATAATTTGCTCTCTGTGCATCTCTTCCAATCCTACTAATTCTTGATAGATAAACCAAAATGTTTCGAGTATGAACAGGTATGCAACAAAGGACTCCAAAAAAAGAAGTGCCCAGGGCTTTCAAAATATATATTGAACAGTTGGTGAAATTTGCTTTTTTTTTTTTTTCCTTAAGTAGGCAAAAGAAATTTCTGGTTTAAACTGTCTTATATTTTTAAAACATTTTGAATGCATTGTAGAAGACTAGAATATGCCGCCCCAAAATATGTCTTTTTGGCATAAGGATTATTTTCAGCTGGTTATTTTTAGAAACGGCAAGGCATAGGCAGTATTCAGGAAACAAAGTAAAACTTAGTCCTTTGTAAGAGGAATTTGTATCCAAAATTGAAACCTGCATTTTGTGTGTACCCACACCAGGGGAGGGAGACCAGTGAGGGGGAGGGGGGTTGGAGAAGTGCATTTGCATAACATCCCCTGTTCTGCATCATGAAGAAAAAGAAACAAAACCATAAGAGATTCCGGACCCGGCACAAGCCACTGAGATAAATTTATACAACAAACCTCCTCCTTATTTTTTTTTCATGTCTTAGTGTTTCTACTGTTGCAACAAAATACCATGACCAAAAAGAAAGTAGGGGAGGAAAGGGTTTAATTGGCCTACACTTTCACATCACTGTTAGTCTCTGGTCACTGAAAGAAATCAGGACAGGAATTCAAAACAGGGCAGGCTCCTGCAGGCAGGAGCTGATGCAAAGGCTATGAAGCCAGGGCTACTGACTGGCTTGCTCAGCCTGCTTTCTTACAGAACTCACTTACAGAACTCACCGCTCCCAGTGGGCTGTGCCCTCCTCCATTGATCACTAACTGAGAAAATGCCTTACGGCTGGATCTTATGGAGGCTCCTTCCTCACTGATGACTCTAGCTTGTGTCAAGCTGACACACAAAAATCAGACAATACATCTCCTTACTCTACAATTGGTCCTTTATCCCTATTTGTTTCCATGGACATGGGTACAATGGTTTCTCTTTTCTTTGTGGGATGCATTCAAAGACAGACCTGTAGTAGATGGTGAAACCAGGGATTCTACTGAAGCCTGTGTGGATTTTCACACACAGGCATACCACACACACGCATATTATGCACACCACACAGACACACACACACACTTTTTTGTAATGCCTCTTCCATTTTCACTAAGCACTTCTGTCCTGTGGCTGTAAGTTCTGCAGTATGACAGTAGAAGCCCAGAAATTCTTTATCCTCCCAGTGTTGTGGGCAGAGGAGCTAGTCTTACTCTGTATCTCAGTCGAGAGTGTTAACCTTTTCACAGGAAGGTAGCATTTATGTCTCTCTTTAGCACATCCCAATTGCCAAAACCACTATTTTTGCATGTTGGAGCCATCCGTCAGTAAAATCAGGGTTGTTTAAAAATAAACACTGAGAACCTGTATAGCCAATGACCTGATAACTAAGGTCAATTGAGTGACTAGTGGGTAAATGACTTATACAAGCAAGGATATGCTGCTTGAATAATGATCACTCATGTTCTGGTTAGTCAATGAACACCACACTATTCAGAATGGTGCACAGCTGAAACTACGAGTCATTTATTTCTAGAGATTTTCATGTAATGTTTTCAGACTATGAAACCACAGAGAAGGGGGGAGTCTGTAATTAAGCTAGCGTCACAGCTGAAAAAGGACACCTAACGTTTTGTACTTTGGCTCTGCTTTGCCTCATACACTAATTTTCTCTTCTGTCATGTCCTTCAATCGTTACGTTAGACTCTAGGGATGATAGGATTGATCAATAAAGGATCAAACTTCCCTCAAGGAGCAGCAGCTTTGAGGCCCAGGGCCCTCCATGATGAAACCACTACCCCAGCATTAGCTACTTCTCTGTGGTTGTAATATAAGACCCTGACACAAGCAACTTAGAGAAAAGTTGTCCTTCCAAAGGGAACATAGGCCACCATGGCAGGGGAGACACAGCAGCAGAAGCATGAGGCAGGCCTGGCAACCGAGAAGCAGGGTGGCCACATTTAACCCACACACAGGAAGCAGAGTAGGAGAACAGGAAGTGTGGCTGGGAATAAAACCCCAAAGAAAGCTCACTTCCGGTGACACAGCTTGTCTAGCTTGTCTTGCCTAGGGTAGTGGTTCTCAGCCTTCCTAATGCTTCAACCCTTTAATAGAGTTCCTAATGTTGTGGTGACCCACAACTGCAAGATTATTTTCTTGCTACTTCCTAACTGCAATTTTGCTAATGCTATGAATTGTAATGTAAATATTTTTTGAAATGGAGGTTTGCCAAATGAGTCACCACTGTCCTAAGGAGTCCATAACTTTACCAAACAGTGCCACTAACTGGGAACCATGCGTTCAAGCACATGAGGCTATGGGGGACATTTTATAAGCAAATCACAACACCCCAAAATAAAGGCACTTACTCATACTGAGTTATCCCCACATGGAAAGCAGAATATTCACCTTGAGTGACTTCCCCAGAACCCCTGGCCTGCTGTCACTTATGCATATTTTAACCATCTCAGTTGGTATATATGTATATATATATATATATATATGGTTAATATATATAATTTTTTTGTACAAAATTTCAAACTTCCTATCAGCTCATTATAGATAGACTTGGGGTCACTGACCTCCTTCACATGTCCTTCCCTACATGGCTACACTGATCCACACTGCCTTCACCACTGCTTGGCTCTTTGTTTGGTACATGAAGACAGCACATTGGGAGAGTCTAAGACAGCCTCAGAAGTGATGCTTCTACCCTGAAACTCAAGTAACAAAGACATCTCCATGTTTCCCTTTGGCATTTCTTCCATAGTCTTCTACGCTATGCAGGGCTTGTTTGCCTTGGCCATACTGATCAGCCTTTGCTCCTGGGATCTTTTCCAACTAACAATTATACAGGGTAGAGAGAAACTGTTTTCTCCCTTTCTGACATTCTTTATAAAACTAAGCTCACTTCCCTTACTAGAGGACCCACTTGAAGGCTAAGCTGCCCATCTGCTACATCTTGGTAGGGGGCCTAGGTCCAGTTCATGTATGGTACTTGGCTGATGCTTTAGTCTCAGGAAGCCCCTCTGGGCCTGGGTTAGTTGGTCCTGTTGGTCTTCTTGTGGAGCTCCTGTCACTTCCAGGTTTTTTTTCTCTTTCCTCCCACTCTTCCACAAGACTCCCTATTCATCGCCCAATATTTGGCTGTAAGCCTCAGCATCTGTTTTGAGGAGCTACTGGGTAGAGCCTCGTAGAGGACAACACTCACAGGACCACTTCCCCCTGGAGAGGCTACCTTGCCAGGCCACAGGGAAGAAGATATGCTCAGTTCTGATGCAACTTGATGAGCTGGGGTGAATGGGAAAGGGTGCTCCCCTTTTCTGAGGAATATGAAAGAGACAAGGAATGGAGGGTAGGACTGGGAAGGGAGGAGGGATGGGGCTACAACCAGGATGTAAAGTAAATAAAAAGTAAATTAATTAAAAATAAATATAAGCTCAAACTTCATGTTATAAATATTATAATAATATATACTATACTTCAGTTATATTATGCTGTATATACACACATATGTATGGTTTAAGCAGCAGACCTGTGTATTAAGATACATCAGAGTAAAAAAGTAGCCTGATATAGTGGTATTGAGGCAGGATAGAAAGACATGGAAAATTGTGGGGACATGGGAAAGGAAAGAAGCCCCTCACCCTGGAGTCTGGTTGAAGTTTCCTGAAGCTGAGAGACAATAACTGAGACCAAAAAAAAAGAAAAAGAAAAAAAAGTAGTCAGCAGTATTAGCAAATGTCCCAGCACTCAGGAGGTAGAAGCACAGATCTCTGTTGAGTTCAAGGCCAGCCTGGTCTACAGAAAGAGTTCCAGCACCCCCAGGGCTTCAAGGAGACACACTGTTTCATACAAACAAACAAGAAAGCAATGCTATGAACGTTGATGACAAAGTCAACATTCCTTTTACATAGATTCATGTCAATTAATAAAAATGTCAAAATAGCAATGGTTACGGACTAAGCGTGCGTGACCAAGCGTGGCCTGTGGCGATGTCTGCAGGAAGTGTTTTGTGGTAACTGATGCGAGTGATGCCGCTGGACATGGGCAGCACTGTTCCCTCTGAGAGTGCCATGGTTGTATACAGGTAAAGAAAGTGAGCTGAGCAGTAGTCGTGCCCTCATTCACTTCTTCCTGCTCTCGACACTGGATACGGCCAGCTACTCCCAGAGCCTGCCCTGACTCCTTTCAGTGAAGGGCTGGAACTGTAAGCTCCAAATTATGCCTTGACTTCACCAGTGCTGGAATAGTAAATCATCTTTCTCAGAGTTGCTTTTGTCAGCACATTCATCATAGGAACAGAAATGAAACTAGGGCATTATCGAATCCCATCAAGGCACTTCATTTACCAAAGGGTAGAGAAACTGCCTGGAAACATTTGAGGCTGTCATTTCAGAAACCACTAAAACCTTCTATGGGACTATTCTGAAGACAGTTACACAAGGATTTCTTGAAGAGACTTCACCCAAGTTTGGGTATGGACACACCCGTCTCTAAGTAACTCTCCTTCTGTTGCTGCCCAGGCTTAAACCCATGCTAAACATCTCTTCTTAATAAACTCCGATTATAAATCCTGGTATCACATGGGTAAAGTTCCCTGAATAGTTCTCCTTAGTCTTCGACAAGAGGTAGGATGGAGATGTAACTATGGCCCATGTCTTCCTCCCACTAACTTCTTCTCTGGTGACCATTATGGAACAACCTCTGGAGAAGTATCGGTGAGTTCCTTGACTGTTGTTGAACAGTTCTACTCCACTCTCCTAGCTTATATGTTACCTTGGTTTTTTTTATCTTGGAGAAAATCAAAAGCCCCTAGTGATGTTTAATGAATATAACTGACTCTGAAGACAAGCTTTCTCCTGGAGTTATCAGTCTCTCTTTG